TAACCCAACCGCTGGGTCAAAACAACCCAATTGCTGGGTTTGTCCCTATTTTACCCAGCATTGGGTTGTATTTAACCCAGCATTTTTTAGAGTGTACATGGTACCTTGTCCTAAACAAAACTTGCCCTTACAGAAAAGTACAGCATGGCATTTACATTCATGTACCACAGCATTTACATAGTAGGCTAGTCCAAAGTACTTCAAATGATGCTTTCAAAGCACTTTCTATTTAGAGCTCCAGTATTATTATATGTGAACTTACAATTTAACTAGGCACGCGCCTAACAAATAAAATCAAGCCAAATCGCACCGGCACGCGAAAACAATGATAAGACCAAAGATTGAATACCACTCAATATCAAATAGACCGTATTTTCAGCGAAGGCTAAAACAGACGCACCGTAATTCGAAATTCCTTTATCGAACCGTCACCATGTGAACACGTTAATAAAGGTGCGCGTGAAAAAGCCATGATTTCACTACAGCGCGCACATGCCTGGAGTGGGTCCGGTGAGCCGTTGTCGTGGAAACGGAGTGACATATTTGCGTAGGCGCCGATGCCTATTGCTCTGCGGACACGTTAGACGTACTCCCCAACTCACCTATACACAACAATTCATGAAATAATGTGCGCGTAAAACGTAATTGCATTAGTAAATAACAGCATTTTATTAGCGTATCCCTCACGATAGGCCCAAAAGCACTTTTTTTCCCCAAGACCAAGCCATTTAACGGTCTCTCAAGTCGGCTCAATGCTGCCTAATGCAGACACTCAAGCGGATCAGATCATCACTGATAAATCACTATGAAGCGGACGCTGTATCTCCACCGATATGCGTCTAATTGCGTTATGTGGTCAATTTATACATTTCAGTGTAAGCCGATAGTGTTGTCTATTTTTTTTCCCTGTTCTGGTAGCCTACAGAAAGTCAGCTGAGGTGAGTCAGCAGCCGCACAAAATTCTTCTCCAAGTGACCATTTTCATAAAAAAGACCCTTTAGGTGCGCTATCTTACCAACTTATTGCTTATTTACCGTGGCCCCCACCCCTTACAACCGCTTTCATCCTCTCTCTCTTTCACACACACGACACATAATGTCTGTTGCATTGTCATGCTATGGTCTTGTTTGATGTTTAGAGCTCACATGCAATCGCACGCCCCGAATTATCGTAGCGAACTCCACAGATGCTCATAAGGGTGGCTGAAACCGTCAGGTCGTGGATGTCATGGAATAGCGGTGCACTAAACTTATTTTGGCCCTCGACGAATTGAGGAATCTACCCACACACTCCTCACGCGCACACACACGCTCACAAACACACGCGCATGTTTTTTTTGTTTTTTTCACGCATCCCTGAACACTTACATGTCCGTAATGTTTTCCATGTCAGACTCCGGCACCAAGACAGGGAAATCCTCGATGCCTGGTTCTTGATCGATACACGAGATCCTCGAGGCATTGCAAAAGCACGACACAGGACAAGCCGAGCTGAGCCTCAGCAGCCCGAATAAAACCCCACACAACCCCCAGCGAGCCATTCCTTGAACCCCTGCGGTCATAGCAGGTCTAGCGCAGTGCATTCAGCGTCGTGTAATGTCTTATAGTATTTTCAGCAATTCCGAGATGAGAAGAACGCCGCTTCCGTGGGAAGCGCAAAGACGTTGTGCGCGACGCGAGACTGTCATGGAGTGGCGCAAGACAACATTACGCAGCGGGGAAATGTTCGCGTGCCAATATGTTGCGCTATCCGGGCTTCGCCTCTTCCAGACGCGGTGGTAAAACGTGTGGCCGCAGGCTGTGTGTGTCTCTACGGCTGCGGTGGTGACGCTGACGTCTCACATTCAGCGCTGGGTAAGAAAACAAGCGAGACGGTGTGCGTGTGTGCGCGTGTGAAGAGGCAGCAGCGCGTACCTGCAAGCATCTCCCTCAGCCGTCGCTGTAATTACATGTGGAGGGGGACGTTAAAGATGCTCCCAGCGATGCCATATCGGCAATAATTGATCACCTGTGCTGTCAATGGGGCGATCTTTGGGAGATGTCCTATGTTGACAGGGATGGGGATGCTCGGCATAGGCTGTCAAAGATTGTTTTTCTATCGTGTCATTTGGGAAATGACGATGTTTTTCTTTTTTATTTTCAATTCAATCTGTGTTGCTTTTCCATCGTGCTCTTTTCAACAATATACAACTTCACGAATAGCCATTCCCGGAGTGTGACGTGCTGTTGGACGCACAACATCTAGAAAAATAATTACTAAACAAAAATGCCTGGACGCTTTTTTACTGGTTATGTCAGTCTCGCATTCCAATCGCAGTGTAGTCTATGTGAAGGGAGACAAAATGATATTGGTAATAATCTAAATATTACTTTAGGATGTTTACCGAGTTATCAGTCTGTTTGAAGGGAACGGTGATGGATTCGGAAAATGCGCCTTTGAATCTCACATTTGAGAGAAGTTAGAGCCCATCTGCACTAGATTCCACGCGTTATATAAACATTTTGATTTTATTTCAGCATGAGTACACTGAAGGGCCTTGGTTTAGGAAATCACTACAGCAAAAGCCA